CTGATGTGGGGCTTAAACTCATGAACCATGAGATCATGACCTGAAATTGAAATCGGATGCTCAACCAATTAAACCACCCAGATGCCCCAATAACTTTCTTATTCCTAATTACGGTCTTTTCTTTCCATTCAAAGAATGCCCTTTAATGTTTCTTGTAAGGCTGGTTTAAATGGTAATGAGCTCCTTTAACTTGTTTGTATGGGAGACTCTATCTCTCCTATTCTGAATGATAGCTTTGCTGGGTAGAGTATTCTTGGTTGCAGGTTTTTTTCTTTTTAGTACTTTGAATATATCGTACCCCTCCCTTCTGGCCTGTAAAGTTTCTGCTAAAAATCAACAGAATAGCCTTAAAGGGTGCCTCTTCTATATAACATTTATTTTTCTCTTGCTGCTTTCAAAATTCTCCCTCTGTTACTACTTTTTTGCTATTTTGATTACTGTGTGTCTTGATGTGGACTTCCTGGTGTTAACTTTATTGGGAGTTCTCTATGCCTTCTGGATCTGGATGTCTGTTTCCTTCCTCAGATTAGGAAAGTTTTCAGCTATTATTTCTTCAAATAAATGTTCTGCCCCCTTTTCTCTCTCTTCTTCTGGAATCCCTATAATGTGAATGTTATTATTCTTGATGATGTTGCTGAGTTTTCTTTATCTATTCTCATTTTTTATTCTTTTTTATTTTTTGCTGTTCAGCTTGATTGCTTTTCACTACACTGTCTTCCAGGTTGCTGATCTGTTCTTCAGCTTCTTCTAATATGCTCTTGAGTCCCTCAGTGTTGGTTTTTTTTTTTTTTTTTTTTTTTTTTTTTTTTTTATCTCCGTCATTGAGTTCTTCATCTCTGAGTGGTTCTTTTTTATATTTACTGTTTGTTTTTGAAGGCCTCACTGAGATCATGCACTTTTTTCTCAAGTCAGGTGAATATTTTTATGACCATTGCTTTGAATTCTTTATCAGGCACATTGCTTATCTCCATTTCATTTAGCTTTTTTGCTGTGGTTTTGTCCTGTTCTTTCATTTGGGACATATTCCTCTGTCTTCTCATTTTATATAACTCTGTGTGTTTGCTTCTGTATATTAGGAGAGTCAGTTACAGCTGCTGATCTTAAAAGTAGTGGCCTTAGGAAGAAGAGAAGTCCCATGGTGCCTTGCAGTGCAGGGTCCCCTGTTCACTAGATCCATATGCTTTTCAGCCTCTGCCTCACTGTTGTGGCAGAGCCTCCTCTGTCAGTCCATTGGCCTCAGTGCCCCACCTAGCCTGTTTTGGACAAGATTTGATCTCGGTGTTGTTAAGGGGTAGTCTGGGGCCTCCAGCGGCTTATAGTGTGGTGGTGTCAGCAGTTAGACTAGATGCCTGCTCTCAGCCTGTCTGCTGGGGCTGTAGTTGAACCAACCTGCAAGGCACCCTCTATGCCTTGTCCCCTGAGAGGCTTTCCCTGGGGGGCAGGGCCGGCAGTCAGACCAGATGCCTGCCCCCAGTCCATCTGCCAGGGCTGCGGTCACACTATTGCTAGCTATGAGGTTCAGTTGCCAGAACCGTGGGCATACCCGTGTGTGTGTGTGGGGGGGGGGGGGGGGGGGGGGGGTGTGGCTGTGTGGTTATCTTCCCCCCTCCCCAGAGCAGGAGTCACTTTGGAGTAGGGCGGGTTTGATGGGGCAGATCCACAGGAGAATGTGGAGGTGGGGCATGCAGTGCTAGCAAGGTCGGTGTTGTGTGTTTGCACTGGTTCCCTGAAGCTCCCAACTGTCTAGGCAAGTGTTGGTGGCACAGGGAATGGTTCCTGCCAGCTCTTTTGTTGTTGGAGAAGTTTCTTAAAGATCCCTGCACCTCCAGCACACATTCTGAGATTGGTAAATAAATGTTTTTCATGTATACCGCAGGCACTTTTAAAACTGCCGCTTCTGGGGGCGCCTGGGTGGCGCAGTCGGTTAAGCGTCCGACTTCAGCCAGGTCACGATCTCGC